TTTAGTCATTTTTAGTGGAATTAACTACATTCACATTTTGTAATTTTGAAGTATCTTTGGCAAAATACTTGAGACTATAGATATATTCTGTTACTTCTTAAACTTTTACTCACTCATTTTAATATCTATTAGTAATTTCTGTCTGAATAATTTTCATGATGGTTTTTAAATGATGATTTTTTAATTCCATCGTTTTCTTTATTTCATTATTTTGATGCTGTCCCTGAATTGGCCAGTGGGAACCCCTAAGTTGATCTGTCACCTTTTGGATTGCTCTTGTTATTTTAACAATTTTTTACTTTCTACCACAACAAGATGTTCTAGGCCCATCTCAGACTTTCCCAGCCCGAGCCTTAGAATGAGTTATTTTTTTCAAGGATCTCTGGTTGCTTTGACTAGAGAATGACATTTAAGCCAGGACCCAGATTCTGGATGTCCTCATTGCTGCTGTGTGTCATTACTTCTGGGCCCTCTTAGCAGGCATCTGGGAAATATATACATATGATATATGAATATGTGTGTTTGTGTCTACACCACTGATTCTAATCCAACACTACAGAATTTATTCTAGCCTTCTTTTTATCTTTATAACTCTTCCTCTTAATAGAAACCTAGCCCCATTCATGTTTTTACTTATTGGCTCAATTCTAGAATGTCAGAAAATAGGTTAAGAATTGCTAGTTTATACCACTATTTAAAAGACACCTAGTAGCCTGGCTGGTGTGGCTCAGTGTTTGAGCATCAACCTGTGAACCAGGAGGTTACATTTCGATTCCCGGTCAGGGCACATGCCCAGGCTGTGGGTTGGGTCTCTGGTGTGGGCCATGCAGAAGGCAGTGGATCAATGACTCTCATCATTGATGTTCCATCTCTCTCTCTTCTCCCTCCTCTCTGAAGTCAATAAAGGTATGAAAGACACCTAGTAAGTAGAGTTCAATATTTGTTGATAGTTTTTTCCTTTAGCATAAATATAAAGCATAATCACTTAGTCTACCAGTAAATCTCCACTGCCCAATAGGGTAGCCACTAACCACATAAATTGAAATGTGTAGTAGTGTAAAATATATACTGGATTTTGAAAACTTAGTATGAAATAAGGAATTAATATTTTAACAGTGTCTTTATATTGTTTATATATTGATATGTCTAAGCTATATCAGAAAAAATAAAATATATTAATAAACTTTTACCTATTTTTACTTTAATGCAGCCACCAGAAAATTATTTATGTGGCTCCTATTATGTTACTTTTGGATACTATTGATATAAAAACCATGTTCAAAAGTTACTTGGATTAATTTTCTCTCCCCAATATTATTTCTTCCCTTGCACGGTTATCTTAGTCATTTGAATTTGCATTTTAAGTTTTTCTCTTCATTCTAATTGATCTTATTTATTTTTGAGTATGTGAAACATTATTATTCTTCCAAAAGTCAGAATTATATAAAAAATATATACTTAGAGCAGTGTCACCCATTTTTTTTAAATCCTTTCTTTTCTACCCTGTTTCTGCCTACCTTCTATATAGGTAACCAATATCATCATTCTCTGAATTATCCTTCCTATTTGTTTTCCCCCCATGAATGAGGAGATACAGGTATATTTTCTTATTTTCTCTTCTTTTTTACACAAAAGGAACCATAGTACTAGTATAGATAGATACTCTTGTACTTTGCATTTTTCACCTAATGTATTTTGAAATCTATTCAACATCAATTTATAGAGTCGCTCTCCTCCCTTTTCTCCCTTGTCTTTTCCTTCCTCCTACAGTTGCATAGTGCTCTATTGTGAGGGTGCTAACCATTTTCTTATGTTTTTTTCAATATTTTGCATTTATACACAGTGCTACAGTGACTAACCTTGTCCATATATATCTTTTCATATGTTGGAAGTGTATGTTTGGGTAAATTCCTAAAATGGGATGTTTGGGTCAAAAGTTTAAAAGCATATGTAGTTTTAAAATATTGCCAGATCTCTTGCTGTGGGGACTGTACAAATTTGAGTTCCCATCAGTAATGTATGAGAGTGTTAGTTTCCCCACAACATTACCATCAATCAGAATGTGTTATTTTATACCTTTTAATTTTTGTTAACCTTATAGGTAAGAAATAGTATCTCTATATAGTTTTAATATTCATTTCTCTATTTAGTGAGTTTGAATGTCTTTTCAAATGCATAAAGATCATCTTATTATTTCTTTTTGTGTGAATTGTCTTGTGTCTTTTTTGGTTAATCCACACCCGAGGATGTTTTTTCCATTGGTCTTTGGGGGGTAGAGAGACATTGATATGAAAGAGACATATCAATTATAAATTGATTGCCTCCCTTGGGGGCTTGGGATCAAACCTACAACCCAGGTATGTGCCCTGGACTGGGAATGGAACTCGAGATCCTTTGGTGCGTGGGCCAGTGCTCTAGCCACTGAGACGCACTGGCCAGGGCTCTTATATCTTTCTATTCACTTTTCTATCAGGTTTTTGTTTTCCTCCCTCAATTTTTAAGAATAAAAAAAATACATTAGGGAAATTAGCTCTTTATCAATGATATATGCTACAGTTTGCCAGTTGTCTTTTGTTTGTTTAGGGTGTATGTATGTATTTGTTTAGACTTTTATGTAGTCCAATTTTTCATAGCATCAGAATTTTGGATAATGTTTAGAAAACTTTCTTTACCCAGGGTAAAAAGGAATTTACACATTTTCCTCTAGTTACTTGTATGATTTTAGTTATGTTTGGATTTCTGATTCATTTGGAGTTTTTTTAAAAATGAATATTGTGTGGATTTAGAATGTTTTACAAATGTTAATTTGTTGTCCCAGCATGTTTTCTTTTAAAAGTACAATTTTGCCCTTGTGTTTTGAGATACCACCTTTATCATATGTTAAGTTTTCATATGGACTTTTGCACCAATCTGTATTCCTGCACCATTATCACAGTTTTTATTATAATATATCAAGGGCCAGCTTCTAAAATTTCTATTGACTATTCTTTCACGTTTGCTTTTTTTCTGTTGAACTTTAATAGCAGCTGCGGCCATAAAAAAGCTTGCATGTATTAGGATTGTTATTGGGATAATGTTAAATTCATAAATTAATGAAGAGAGAACTGACATCTGGATGATGCTGAGTTGTGTTGAGTTTTCTATCTAAGAATAAGGAATATCTTTTTATTTCAAATCTGTATTTGTGTTCTAGGAATGTTTTAAAAAAATTTTTTATATTGATTTTGTATACTTCCCGTTAAATTTGCCATTTAAAAAAACTTATTAACATGTTTTATAAATCTTTATGTCAGTATTTGTAGAGCTACTTTATTCTGTTTAATGTTTGTATTGTTTTTCCATGATATAGATGTACCATAATTTATTTATTCTGGCCCATATAGATGGACATTAAAGTTGTATATGATTTTTCTTCTATGTAATTTTTCAGTTTATATTCATCAAAACAGGATCTTACGCTTTTTAAAAAAACCTTTGCCAGTTTGAAGGACAATAAAGAACATATTATTTCTTTGCTAACTGATGATACTTATTTTTTATCCATATATTCAAACTTCCATTCAGCATATTCTTACTGAGCATCCACTATGTGCCATCCTATAAGAACTATAGTAATCCCTGGAAGTTGAAGGTCTTTCTGTGTTTTTGATCATTTGTATTATTTTGTTTTGTACACTTTTTTTTTTTTAATGTCAGTTAATTGGTGTTTCTGCCCCCTTAGACCAGTTCTTAAAAGACTGAGAATGAAAGATAACATTTCTTTATTCTGTTTTGTTGATGAGTTTCTAAAAAGTACTTTGTTCGTGTATTTATTTTTCTTGCACAATCTGTGGTAAATCTCTGGGTTAAACTCTTAGTATTCACGAAATGAGATAATGTAAGTTAAGTACACAGGCAAGTGTCAAAGAAATGATTACACATTTTAATAAAAATGACTTTTATTATTATTATTTTCCAGGTGAGGCTGCTGCGTCTATCAGGAAAGAATTTTTGTACCATTTTTCTTCAGACAGAGTCTGTTTGTTGTAGAGCAGGGGTGGGGAACATCCAGCTCCTGGGCCACATAAGGCCCTGGAAGTCATTTAGTTTGGCCCTGCCAAGGCACACTGCAGGCAGGACTTGAAATTCAGTAGATCTAGAAGCTTTTTTCATAGCAACATATGTTTATATTAAGTGAAGCTTAATAGTTTTAAAAAATTTTATTCTCACCTGAGGATATATTTTTTTTCCCATTGATTTTTTTGTTTGTTTTGTTTTGTTAGAGTGGAAGTGGGGGAATAGAGAGAAAGAAACATTGTTGTGAGAGAGACACATTGATATGTTGCTGCCTGTGTACACCCCCAGATGGGGCCAAGATTGGGCCTGCAACCCAGGTAGTGTCCTTAACTGGGAATCAAACCTGGACCCTTCAGTCCATAGGCCAGTGCTCTAACCAATGAGCAGATAGGGCAATAATGTAAATTTTGAGGGACAAGCAAGGAATGAAGAAGCATCCATTACGGGATAGACAAGACATAGAGGAGTACATGAAAGCTTCTTGTCTGCTGACCTAAGCCTGTCCTGCCTGTTGTGACTCAGAGGACAGTCAGTGCCAGGCAGGCTGGGAGTGTAAACATTGGGACAGTGTTAACACGAAACTGGCGATCAGTCATGATGAGATGAGATGCTATGAGGTGATTCCTCACAATGTTGAGGATCTTGCCTCTGATGATTGAAGACAATGTTGTCTACTTTTTTGTTGACACTGACAATAATTCCAATCCAACCTTTATCCACAATCAACAATCCTCCCCAAAACAGTCTCATATGAAGATTGATGAAATTACAGCTGCACACAGAAAAGACCTCAGGTGTTGATGATATGATGATATGAACATTGCATATGTTCTAAATCCAAAATGCAGGATTAGAACAGCAGTTAAAGCAAAATAATAGTGTCCATGGCAACAAACACACACACTGGATAGTTATTAAAACTTAAGTGGTGTGACATCATACAAATGGCAACTACAAAGAAGAGAAAAGTTGATGCAGAGCGTCGATCTTTCCAAGAGAAATGGACAAATGATTATTTTTTTGTTGAAGTCCAAGGCAAACCTGTGTGCCTAGTTTGTGGCGATATGTTAGCAGTAATGGAACAAGCCAGTCTGGAGCGTCATTATAGCTCAAAACATGCTAAACTCAGTGAATTGGGAGGCCAAATGCGTCTGGATAAAATCAATGCTCTTCAGCGGAGTTTGGAATTACAACAAGCTGCTTTCACTAAGCCTGGTTGTGACAGAGACAATGTTATTCAGACGAGTTATGTAGTGAGCGAGCTAATAGCAAAGAAGCTGAGGCCTCATGTAGAGGGAGAGTTTGTGAAAGAGTGCATGGTGGCTGCTGCAGAGTTGTTAGCACCAGACAAGGTAAAATTGTTTCAAAGTGTTAGTTTGTCTCGGAGAACTGTCTCAGATCGGATTACTGATTTAGCACAAGATATTGAAATGACATTGAAGAATTCTGCAGGAGATTTCCAGTTTTTCTCTCTGGCTTGTGATGAGACAACGGACATAACAAATACTTCCCAACTGGCTATTTTTGTTCGTGGGATAACTGCAGAGTTTGACACGCGAGAGGAACTGCTGTCACTGGAAGCCATGCATGGCACTACAAGAGGGGAGGATTTGTTTGAGAGACTTGTTTTATCAATGAAAAAATTTGAGCTAACCTTTGAAAAGTTAAGTGGTCTTATTACTGATGGAGCTCCAGCAATGGTTGACTCGCAAAAAGGGTTAATTTCATTGGTCAAGAAAGAACTGAATCGTCTTAGTCTTGACCCAAGTAATTTAATTATATGCCACTGCATCATACACCAAGAAAGTCTCTGTGCACAGTCATTGCGGCTTAACAGTGTAATGTCAACAGTAGTGTCATGCATAAATTTTGTCAAAAGCAGAGGGCTTAACAGCCGCCAGTTTAAGGAGTTACTGAATGATCTTCACTCTGAGTACGGTGATCTTGTTTATAACTGTGAAGTGCGGTGGCTGAGTCACAGGAACATGCTCCTGAGGTTTTATGAACTGCGGGATGAAGTCAGGCAGTTCATGGAGATGAAGGGAAAACCCGTCAGGGAACTCATTGACAGCAAGTGGCTGTGCGATCTAGCATTCATGGTGGATATTACCAACTACCTCTCAGAGTTGAACGTCAAGTTACAGGGCCCCAACCAGCTTCTCAGCACACTGCTTTCAAAGGTGATATCATTTGAAGCTAAATTAAGGCTGTGGAAAGTGCAACTGGAAAGGAATAACACAATGCATTTCCCCACTCTGGAAGGACAAAAGCCTTCTACAACACTTGAATATGCTAGTGAATGTGCAAAACTAATTGAGGCATTTAATGAAAGATTCAAGGACGTGAAAAGTAAACAAATGGAATTGGACATCTTTGCTACACCATTCAATGTAGAACCAGCTGATGTGCCCGATAACCTACGACACGAAATCTTTCAGCTGCAAAGCAATGATGAGCTGAAAGCTAGGTACAACAATGTCCCACTGCTTGAGTTCTACAAACGTTACATAAGTAACAATGAATTTCCCACTTTGAGGAGACATGCTTTGAAATATGCATCTCTGTTTGGAACAACTTACTGCTGCGAGCAGTTCTTTTCAAAACTTACCATAACAAAGAGTCGATTGCGCTCCAGACTGATCTACACAAACCTGGAAAAGCAGTTGCGAGTAGCAACTTCATCTATACCAGCTAACATCACACGCCTCACCCAGGAGAAGCAGTTTCAGCCATCACATTAGGGGTGAGTTAATGAAATGTTTGACCAAATATAGCAGGCTAATTTTTAGGTTGATAATTGTGTATGGCCACGAATGATGTTATAAATATGTAAATGGCTCTTGGCAGAAAAAAGGTTCCCCAACCCTGTTATAGAGTTTCATTACTCAAAAAATTAATGTCACTTATTTGGTAAGACAATTAAGTATACTTATGCATTTATTTTTAGAAAAAAATATTGATTTTTGGAGAGATAGGAAGAGAGGAAGAGAGAATCATCAGTGTGAAGTGAAACATAGATAGGCTGCCTCCTGCATGCCCCCTACTAGGGATCAAGCCTGCAATGACCAGGAATTGAACCAGCAACCTTTCCGTGCTCAGGACAACACCAAACCAACTGAGCTACCCCAGCCAGGGCTTATGCATATTTTATAGAAAGACTGTTCATTTACTCTAAATATTAGTTTACTTATATTTTGTTTCTTCACTGTCATTTTATGTTGTAACTCATGTAAAACAGTTTGAAGGTGGCAATTTCCTAAAATATAGGCTCTTTGGAAGATTTTCTTGCTTCTGTTCTCTGTCTTAATTTTGGTGTTTGTTGTAAAGAGAACAGGGATTGTTTAAATACTGGAATTAGTTCTCAAAGTTGGATTACTAGCTTTGCTTTCTTCAGTCTCCACTGAAAAGACGGAAAATTAATATCTACTCTTTAAAGCTCTAGCTTTCCTATATTTCATGAAGGGATTAGCAAAGGTGCAATGTTATTGTAAGGGTTAAAGCAGGGGTGGGGAACTTGTTTTCTGCCAAGGGCCTTTGGATATTTATAAGATCATTCTCGGGCCATACAAAATTATCAACTTAAAAATTAGCCTGCTATCTTTGGTCAACATTTAATTAACTCATCTCTAATGCCTTGGCAGGGCCAGATGAAATGATTTCACAGGCCTTATACAGTGGACATTCCCCACCCCTGGGTTAAAGAATAGATAATTAAGTTTTTAGTAAAGTGTAATGAAGCCCTGGCTGAGTAGCTCAGTTGATTGTAGTGTTATCCCAATGTGCTGGGGTTGCAGGTTTGATTTCTGGTTAGGGTGTGTGCGTGGAGGAATCAAATTGACGGATGCATGGATGGGTGGAACCACAAATCAATGTTTCTCTTTCTCCCTTTCACTCCTCCTCCTCCCCCTCCCCAAAAGTCAATAAATAAAAATTAAAAAACAAAAAAACAGAATGAATCTCTCCAAGAACTTGGAAATGAAAAATAGATATTTAGTGAAAGTGATTGCAGTTTTTGAATATTACTCTGTAGGTGTTATTTTCAATTAAAATTTTTTTAAAGAAATTTAGTAAATTGGTAGGAATTGGTAGGACCTGTTATTTTGTGAGATGTTTTTCTAACCTACATCCTCTGATGATATTTTTAGTCTATTTCAGCTTCTGATTCTCACATGTAGACAGTAGCAACTGGGAAGCTGATGTGTAGGGTGAAGGCTTTCGTGGTAATAAGAGGGTCAGTTGCAGCATCTTTCAGAAGATAATTGTCTTGTGTGCTGCTGAGGCACGTGGCAAAAAAAAGGATAGAAACTATAATGAAATGATGCTGGTGATTTGCAGAATTTTATTTTAAATAAGGTTTTGCACAGCAATTAAGAAGTAAATGTTGATACTGAGAGCTGACCTAAAAGTCTTCTCAGATAGAATCTCAGAATGAGGAGCCATATGTATAGATAAAGTGAAAGAAATTCTCCTTTGTAGGGTTTTGGTAGTCTCTGCTTTTGTTAGTATCAGAAAGCTGACTTCAGATATTCTTAGATGGTTTGTATGGCTCATAGCAGTAGAGGCATGGGCTCTCATTGTGCATGACTCTGAAATGTCCCAGATATCAGAGTAAACCAGAGTTAGTTTTAATCTTGGTTATTTAAAATCTCCTTGTACCTGTCTTATTAGGAGTTTCATTTTTTTAAGAGGAGACTAATTTGCAACTGGCTATAAAGAGTGACATTGTGTTCAGGGAAATGATGTACTAACACACTGCACTGTCCCACAAGAGTACTTCTGAAGTCTCCAAACGCGGTGCGGACAATCTGTGACAGCCTGTGAATTGTTGGGTAGCAGTTGGGGGAAGATGGACAGCAGAGTGAGGTGATTGTGTGTAAGTACAGAGAAGATGGAGAGGGGAAGAAATTAGAGAAGAGCGAAGCAGCTCAGTCAAGTTCTGTAGACAATTTGAATGGAACCTATTCTTTTTAGCTCTGATAATAGGATGAAATCAACAGCTAGAGAGTGTGTGGGGGTTTTGGTAGGGGGAAATTGTGTTTCACTTTACCTTTCATGGTATTATTTGTTTCATTCTGTCATCAAACTGTGAGATTAGGTGTTCTTTTGTTGAGAATATAGAATGGTTAAGTTTAAAAATTTTGAAGACACTAGAAATACTACTTTATGCCAGGAAATGAGACTATAAAAATCAGAATTCTAGGGATAGGGCTTATCTTTTCAAGACATTATTGCAATGATAGTAAGGCCAATTACCATATCTAAAGCTAAAATGATTGGGCCTTTACCCCAGACAAATACTTTTATTTAAGTATTTATTTAACATATATGAGTGTATATACACATACCATCAACTTATTGTTTCAGAGACAGTTAACCAACTATAACTATCTTCATCAGACACCAAGGCAAGAGTTTCTGGATATTATTTGTATTGCAGAGTAGAATTTAATGTGGGGCAGATTTTGGTTCAGTTCTTTTTCTGATTATTAGAATGGTTATACAGAGAAAATGTGTTTGATGGTTCCCCTAGGTATCATGTCTAATTCTGAATATAGGATTAGACTTGGATCACATTGTTTTGGAGCCCATCTTTCCTGTTGATCTGTTTCTGTTTTTGAGTTAAATATGTTACTGCATGGCCATTGATATCATTGGATTAAGTAAGCATAAGAGAGATGTCAGTGTGAAGATTGTGTTATCATCTCTATACCAATGATCTATATTAAAAAAGATGCCAGGGTAAATAAAAGGGCAGATGGAGTAAGGGATGGTATAGAGGAGATCTAGAGACACTGTACTAGTGTCATTTCTTAGGAATTGTCTATAGGATTTAGGTTCAATTCTCCATTGCCTAGGTCCTAGGAGATTGAATGCCTAAACCTAGTGTTGAAGGCTCTCCAGGCTGAAGACCATCTTTCTAGCAGAATCTTCCCCTATTTCCCAACACTGAACCTTTGACTCTATCTAGACTAGTTTCTATAACTGTCTTCAAAGCAGCACTTTTTGACTTACCGCCTCTTCGTATTGTTTAGGCTATTCCTTCTACTTGGAATGCTACCTTTCCAGTCTCTGTCTTCCAGAGGCCTGCTTCCTAATGATGTGATTGTAAGGAAGACATCATAAGGTATATAAATGTTGAATCACTATGTTATGTACCTTCAACTAATATAATATTGTATGCCAACTATACTTTAAAAAATTTTAAAAAATGAAGGTCTGTTCCAATTCCACCTACTCTATGAAATCTTTGACCATTCTAGTCCCTTAGTGATCTCTCTCCTCTGAGTTTTTATCATTTACTGCTTTATCTTTATTTGGCAATTATATATTACCTTAAAATAACTTAAACGAATGTTCTTACCCTCCTAGTTAGGTAGAGACATCTTAAAGAGAGGTGTGGGGGGGAGGGGCTAATTACTCATGTGGTTCAAACCATGTCATTACTTGTAGTCCTACTTGACAGTCTCCACTATCCCTAACAAAAACTTAGTACAGTATATGCACTTGATATTTGTGAGAAAATGCAATTACCTGTTTTTAGCTTTTGCCAGCCTTTAACATTTTTCTTTCTTTTTATGTCATAAGAATGATAGGTTAGAATGCAGTTTGTTTGTTCAGTAGATTATTCTGCTTTGAAAGCTGTAGCACTCTGTACAGGCTTTCTGCTACTAAAAGGAGCATTGTTCTGAAGATATTATGTTTTTTTTCTTTTTCTTTTTTTAATATATTTTATGGATTTTTTTACAGAGAGGAAGAGAGAGGGATAGAGAGTTAGAAACATCAATGAGAGAGAATCATCTATCAGCTGCCTCTTGCACAGGGGACAGGGGATGTGCCCGCAACCAAGGTACATGCCCTTGACCGGAATTGAACCCAGGACCTTTCAGTCCACAGGCTGACGCTCTATCCCACTGCGCCAAACCGGTCTCGGCAAGATATTATGTTCTAAGGTAATTATTTGTTCTTGAAATTCTAATTAGTATCTTATCTATTATTTATTTAATTTTTATTTGCCTGCTTTCAAGTGAAATTTGCTTTAAAGTCTTTTGGTTTTTTTAGTTTTTTAACAGCCACATTTGGCTTTTACACTTGTTAGCATGGCTGCAGGGAGGGAGGAGATAGATACCAAGTTCTAACTATTATTTTTAACATAGGGACTCCATTTTCTTTACAACTGTTCTCTTTTGTTGCTATTGTATTTGATGTTTTTGTTTTTAACTACGCTATGCTTTGCTTTAACGCATTTTTTAGAAGGCATGTATTGTAATTTGTAGTAGTTAAGTGCAGAGACTTTGAAATCCTAACCCAGTGGTCAGCAAACTGTGGCTCATGAGCCACATGCGGCTCTTTGGCCCCTTGAGTGTGGCTTTTGCACAAAATACCATGTGTGGGTGCAGACATACAGTGCGATTGAAACTTTGTGGACCATGCGCAGAAGTCAGTTTTCGGCCTAGGCGAGTCTATTTTTAAGAAGTGCCATTAGAACCCTTAAGGGGCCAAAGAGCCATATGTGGCTCTCGAGCCACAGTTTGCTGACCACTGTCCTAACGGACTTAAACTGTAAGTTAAGTTTTAGATATCTTATCTATAAAATGGAGACAATAATGGCTATCCTTAGTATGTAGTTGGAATAAAATGAGTATATACACTCATTTTGGACCTTCTAGACCAGCCTCTCCGGTGACAGGCTCTGGTCAGTCCTGGTTGAGTGGGTGGTTTTGTGTGGATGTCCTTCTGGCTA